GTTGGGAATAATGTATATATTAGTTTAATTAATTTATGGATATTTAATAATGCGATTGAATATTAATTATGTGCAGGTGGTGGAGGGAGTGAAGGAGATTACAAAAAATGGGGCCAAATTCGTAAACGGTCAAGAATTAGAATTTGACTCTATAATACTAGCGACGGGGTACAAGAGCAATGTGCCGAGTTGGCTTAAGGTACGTCTATATTAATTAGCATGAATGAATGAACGTTAATGGTGACAAATTAAAAAATAATAATGTTCTAATTAATTAAATATAAACATATAGTATTAAATATATAGTATTATTACTATTATCATTATTCCCAATCACATATCGCTTTCGGTCTTACACATGCAGTGGGCTACAAAACGTTTTCTTATACTGTTACAGAAAAGAGAAAATCTGATGGCATTTGTTTGGATCATACGCCCCGGCCAGTGTTAAAAAAAAAATATATATTTGTTTGTATTTTGATGATGCGTTACTATCATCAAAATATTCTCCATATTTCTTTTATTTTTTTCCAATGTGTGAACCTGCAATATTTTCCAGAATCTTAATTGTCATTTCTAGAAANACAAGTTTTTTAACTGGGGTGTTGCAATAACTGGGGTGTATTTATTAATTACGCGTCTTTTTTTTTTATTTTTATTTTTATTATTTGACATTTTGACTCTTCTTCTTGATAGATTGTTTTTACATTAACTAGGAAATTATAGTTCAACTACTCAGTCTTTTATTATTACCACAATTATACTAGCTACGTCGTAGGCTTTTAGAACCAAGCTGTAATTTTTACACATTGTTTATATATTCGTTCATAAATGTCTCGGTATGACCAATTAATCATGCAGTTTGACCTACGTACACGAAAAATTTCCAGCCGTGCTTAGGTTTCATTACAGTCATTCTAAAAAATAATAATAATAATAATAATATAGGGTAAGGCTACAATCCCGTTACGGTACCATTCCGTTGGGATTTGTTACCGTTAGATCATCAAGTAACCGTCAATGATAGTTGATCTAACGGTTACAAATCCAACGGAATGGTTCCGTAACGGGATTGTAGCATTTTCCAATAATATATACACAAAACAAATGTTTTATTCTGTGTATTTAATTTCATATAGTGTGAACTAATGTTTGAATACGTGTTTTATGAATAATTAGGGTACCGACTTCTTCACAAAAGACGGAATGCCAAAAACGCCCTTCCCTAATGGATGGAAAGGAGAAAACGGATTGTATGCGGTTGGGTTCACGAGAAGAGGTCTACTCGGAACTTCATCTGATGCCGTTAAAATTGCCAGAGATATTTCCGATCAATGGAGGACAATCAACAAAATATTCCCAGCTATAGACGAAAAGCTAATCAACTGAAAATTGTGGACGATAATTTTTCTATACAACTTAGGAAAAAAAATCGAGTGAATTAGCTGTGATTGGTGATTAATTAGGCAATAATAATGCTAGGAATTTGTTTCTTTTATTTTTCCAAGTTCGTTGTCAGTTGTAAATCAATCAGTTTTGCAATGTTGTTTGCTCCTTTACTTTTATTTGTATGGTTTGTTTTGTTTTGTAGTGTTTAATGAATGAATATATTTTGATTTAGTACAACAACAAGTTACAATACTAATGTTAATATCAACTCTCTTTTTAGTATTCAAGAATATATATGAACCAAACGGAATAAGAAGTAAGGTTTAATTGGTGGGACCGAATTGCAAAATGTCTGATCAAAATAATTGCTTCTTACGAGGTATTAAGAATTGTCAACTTCAGATAGTCAAGAGAACACTATTCGCACATCATTTAATGCGAAAGAGAAGAATAAGAAAGATGCATCATTACTTATGGGCCAGCCCAGAAATTTGAATGAACAACTATAAGATTTTGGACGTGTATATAATAAATCCTTACACTTTAACATTGCACAATCTTTTATGCCGAAAATGACCCAATGTTAAAAGTATAATTCTAATTTGCGCATTCCATGATCACAAAACAATGGCAAGAACGACTAGATTTATATTGATCTCAAACATATAATAAAATATTAGCTAGGTTGTGTTAATTATTTGTTTTCGGATATCAAATTTCTCGAATTCTAGAAATTTAAGCGTCAAACTCAGTACGATAAATTTAAGTATCAAACTCCAGTGATAAGATTTGATGCTTAATTCTATGTGATAACATTATACATAACTTATCATAGAATAACACAATTTGGACAGAGGTTGGTATAGCGTATGAACTAAATATCATGTATAACTATGTTATACCCAATGTTATTATCGTATAGATACAGATTGGCTACCTATCGTTCAGCATTCGTTAGATTATATATATATATATATATATATATATATGTTTATTTCTCATTTTCGTCTGGTAATTGTAAATTGTTGATATTTTTTACTAGTTGGGGTCTTGATTATGAACAGGTTGGAACCAGGCCTTAATTCCTAATCTTCTGGGTATTTTACTTAAAAAAAAAATAAAAAATCATAATAATACCTCAAATTGTGGTAGAATTAGCTTTATTTTAATCCAAAGTTTATATACACAATATATATATATATATATATATGTGTGTGTGTGTGTGGTAGATGAAGACAAGGATGATGCATAGAAAGCCCCCATTTTAGAATGAAGATTTGTACTTTAGAAAAAGGGTTTTGTTCTTAAAGTAATGAATTGTTGGGATCATTGGTGTTTGCCAAAGTGAGGTAAAGCTTTTGTGTAATGAAGGCAACTTTGCAGATAGCTACTTTGGGCATTTTCCCTTCCCTTTTTCACTAACACTCGAGTTATTTCGGTTATGACGTACGTTTTTACACGCAAAAAACAGAATCTATGGAAATTGCTTTTTCTGAGTTAATGATTGCAACACGATTACATCACCATCCCCAACACTTTTTCCCAATTTCCCCTTCATTTTATTATTC